GGACCGCGGCTATCGCAAACACAACACCAACGACAACGAGGAACAAAGAAAACAATAACAATAATAAAAGATAGAAATAAAAGGAAAAATAAATGCGTTTGGCCGCCCCGTCCCTACGCCACGAGAAGTGTAAAGTCCAGAAAAAACGTCTTCCAAAAAAACAAACCAAAACAAAACAAAAAGACTTCGCCACACCACTTCCCGATGGCGTTCAAGTCAAAAAAAAAAAAAGACACAGTCGTAAAGTTTAACTAAAAAAAGTATATTAATAATAATAATAATTTCTACCCACACACAAACGGAAAAAAAAAAACGGTGCACACCGCCATCTCTACCAACTTACCCTTCCAAACACGCATCCCTCCATAAGAAGATGCACCACCAACTCCTACAGAAAATAAAATAAAATACAATACAACACAGTCATAAAAGACAACAAACTGCCTCACCATCCCCTCGTCCAAATTCAAACAACAAAAAGCATCTACCATTTATACATGAAAAAAACTCATTGAAATGATTTATGGCCACCTAAAACCCAATGGGAACTCGCGAAGCTGCACTCGCCACCGCCCAACGCGGCCTCGCAGGAAACGCATCAGTTAATGCGTGCGGGAAACAGCATATACAAACAAATCGTCCACTCATCTTTTTAGCCTCCTCTGGATGCACTCCACCCCCACCCCCCAACGGGCATCCCAACAGACAAACAAATATATCGCGAAGGAGCAGCACAAAATGGGTCCGCCCTCAAATTAATTTATTTAAAAGGCGGGAGGCACAAGGGCCGCAACACCACCACGCAGCAGCAGCACGCCGCACCGGCCGCGCGCCGAGACCCAAAACGAAGGAGCTGCCACACGAGCCACGCAACGTGGATGCTGACAGCCGAGCCCTCCTCTCCCGAGGACAGCACCGCCCACAACAAAAACACAAACAAAAAGCTCAAAAATATATATCAAAAAACAACAGCCAACGGTAAACGCAAACAAATGAAGCACGTGAGCGGCAGTCTTATGTCATTGTGCTCCGCCCACTTCATAGCGGCAACCCTCGCACCTTCCTCCCTGCGCTTCCCGATTCGCCCCATCACTGGGATGCTCATTGATAAACGAAAAACACAACAGAAGGGCATCGTAAACAATAAATACAGCGGCAGCGCGGCCGATGGCGCCAGTCCACCGCACTCTGCTCTTGCAGGGGCTCCACCCCTTTCCGCCTCGCATCGCCCACCGCGTGGAGAGCTGACCGGGAACCGCGCAGTCACCCAACAGAAAAACAAAAACTAAACCGAAAAGTGAACGCGCATTGTGCACATGCGCCAGCTCTCATCGCATTCGCATTCGTTCATCGCACCCCACTCATTGCATCAGGACTGATGGCCGCACACACACAAAAAAACAAAAGAATATGCTATTTTTACAAACACAACTTCATCCAACCCCAAGCCCACCCCGCGTAAACACACAGCTATCACCGGGCACAGCAGCATTGCTGTGCAAGCCACGCGCTGCCCACATCCTCACACTGATGAAAAACCCCACAATACACGTGCCTATTGTAACTCCATTGTATCCAGATCATCCCCATTCACCACGCTTCCGGAGGTCACACTGCGCCGTACCCTCCTCGTATTCCAAAGAGAGGCATCATCTGCGCTTTCAGCAATTTCCTCGCCCCTTGGAAACTCCACACTTGCAAAACTACCCAACGCAACGCTTCTGCGCCTACAGTGTCTGGGTATCCTGAATGACTGTGT